AATTAGTTCTAATCTATTCTCTGTAATATGCGGATTTAATTCCTGTACTGTGAGGTTGCATTTGTGTGGATTTTCTTAAGGTTCTATTTCTATATTATTTAAATATATAGATGTTGCAACAACTTGGACAGTTTGAGTTACTTCTATAGAACATGATTCAATTTTGATTTTCATTTTGTTCTTGTCACTTTGATCTATATTCTGCTTCTTAGAACAACCTAATAGTTTTTCCTCTTTTGTAATTGCATTGATGTTATCTTCTTTAAAAATCTTAGTAGAATGCAAAGATGAAATTTCTATAAAGATTGGCTCAGATTTAGTTTTAATACTGCTGTTTTGTGAGTCAGCTTTATCTATGTTATCAACTTGCATGTTGGTATTGTAAGTAATATTTAGAAGAATTTTTTCCTCTTCAGTTATGTTTTGATCTCTAAACCTCTTGTGCTGAGCATAATTATAGAAATGTAAAACGTTGCAGACAATTGCGATAAGATATGTTTCGCTAGTTTCTAAGTATTCTACAACTTTTTTGTCTGTTTCTAAAATAAATGAATTTTGCTCTTTTTGTATTTCTACTCTTTCTAATTCTGACTTAGTAAAAAAGTTTTTGTAATCAATGAGTTCTAGCATTTTGTATGTGTTGTTTGTTTACTTGTGTTTCGATTTTACGCGTACTGTTTGTTATTTGTTAAGACACGTGGTTGTATGTTTTGTTGGTTAATTGTCTACCAAATTGATTTATTTGTTTATTCTTCTAAAATGGACGTGTTTGTTTGTTTTGATCGAGTGTGATCTGCAATACAGGATTAATGGCAATTCCCCAAAATTTCTAAAAAATTTAAAAATTTTTGCCAAAAGTATCAAATTTTCTCAGTAGAGCACTTTAAAGGATATAGTATGCAAAGTCGTTTTAAGAAACTCTAGTTCTTTTCTTGTGTTCTATCTTTTTGCTTAAAGCAAGTTTAATTGTTGTCTTAATAAAATTGTGACTGAGCCTTGGATGTTCTTTAGCTCCAAATTTGGTTTTGGTGATCGTCGGAAAGAGTGTATTGAGTGAATTTTTATTAGTTATTATTGTTTTTATATAATCTAATAATAAATTGGCTACGTCAATTTTTTGAAAAATTGACTAGCTAAGCTGGTTAAGTCAATAAAAATTAACTAATCAAAATTGATTACAAACACTATTTTGATTGCATCTATCTTCATAATTCTACTA